CAAACCAAGATGGTGTACAATTATTAGAAACCAGCTGTGGCAATAGTCTAAAACCTACTGCTCTTATATATAACCAATACTTTTTAAATACATGTGCAATCAAMATTTTGAAAAGTAATTAGTCATTTTAACAAAACYATTATTGAATCAAACYGCYCTTTGGCGAACTCGTGRATACTAGTTGACGTTCCAGATATTGGTCAGTCATGGTTGTTGACATTCAATTGTTYCAAAGTATTTCGCTCAATTTCATATTTTAAGTACTTGAGTTTGGAAGTGAATTCTGAAAAAAATTGATTGTCTGAAGCCACTTTAATTACGAAAGACAACAGACTATTTGCTAAGTCTTCTGAAAAATGAATTCTTGATTTTGTTTTTAATTAGTCGAGCCGAGTGCTTTATTTCAGGAATCATTCTTTTTGGCTATCTTTACCTTCAAGGGTCATGGCGCTTACAATYGATTTGTTGCCTGAATTTTACATGAAACACTTTATTTAAACCCTGAACTAAGTGAATATTTTTTAGAAATTGGTTTAGAAATACTATTTAATTTGTCTTCATTCAAGTCTGTAAATTACAGATTTAATTATTGGAGCAAATTTTCGTTAGATGTCTCGAGCAATCAATGCTTYGGCRATCAATCTACCTTTTATTCATATTAAACGGCTTATTTGGATGACAAAACTGGCTTAATGTTCTTCAAGACTCCATYGGAATTGCTCCGAATTTCRTCTTTTGCTAATTTTTCTACGATCTACATCCACATTGATTATTTAAGAAGCCACTTAAGTTAATAACTGTTCTAATTAAACTTCGCTCGATCGAGTTGATAAGATTTTTTTTGCTGAATACCGCCGTGACTTTGACCTTTCTCTAATGAGAATAAATTCCACCAAAGCTTGAACTCTGAATCTCGTTTTGAATTCTAATGAAAAGTGTTTTTTTYGATGCATCAGGCTCGACCCACGATAYGAGTCTTATGAAAATGAGTCTTATCTAAATATGTTGACGATTGTACATAAGCGTTTCTGTTTACTTTAATACATCAGCAAAAAAAGGTTTAACTTATTGAATTTTTAGTTCAGGCTTTAATTGTATTATTTTA